CAGCACTCCTCTCGTCTCTTCGTAGATGAGGCCAGAGATTCGCTTCACTCCTCCTCTGCGGGCCAGACGTCTGATCGCGGGTTTTGTGATTCCCTGGATGTTGTCTCTCAACACCTTTCGGTGCCGTTTCGCGCCTCCTTTCCCGAGTCCTTTGCCTCCCTTTCCTCGTCCAGACATGTCTTCAGCTGTTTTGCAGTAATAGTACGTAAAGTATGAACACAAACAACACGTATGACTGCAAACACATCGACGCTGAGCCTTATATACCCACTCGACTCGTACTCAATGTGAACTCATTGCCACTCATTGGCTGTAAGTCAACAGCCAATCAGATTTGAGTGTTTTGGAGGCATTTTGAGGACTTGTGTGCGGACTCGATGTGACTTTGATTTGCCGGTGGTTTGGATCCCTCGCTATTCAATCACTTTATATGCCATTCATTTGATTGTTATTAATTGGATTGAAATCTATTTAATTGCATTCATAACACATCCCAACAAAAGCATTCGTTGTATTCAATAAATGGTTATTATTGTTAAATCATAAACTTATTAAACATTAGATATAAATGTGAATTACAAACTCAATTACATATAGTATTAGTGACACAAACATGTATTACAAACTTAATTAAAACTTCAATATATTTTGTTAATTCAGTATAAATTGTATGTATAATACAGTAGTATTGTTATAGATATACCATATATGCCTCAAACTAACTAAATGTACTAAATCTACCACTATTTTCAATAGTCCACTAAATTACCAATAATTCATTCAATACTAGGTTTAATTGCGATACAAATTAAATACAATCCACTCATTAATTAAATCAACACTCGTTTAAAAATAAATACACAAATATTTGAGTAAAATTTAGTCATTTATTGAGTAATAAAATAAAGTTAAAAATAACGAAATGAAAGGCAAATGAGAATTGAGTCCAGTATTCATGTATGTATTGGCCCTAAAAAGGGCCGTTTGGTTGTAATGGCCATTGAGTGGCACTTAAGCTCTCTCTCCTCGGATACGACGGGCCAATTGGATGTCTTTCGGCATAATTGTCACTCTCTTGGCGTGAATGGCGCACAGATTCGTGTCCTCGAAGAGACCGACCAAATAAGCCTCAGAAGCCTAACAATGAAACAAAACATGAGTCTCTGCAGCAAACAATTGAGTCAATCAACACAAACCTCCTGCAGAGCCATAACGGCGGACGACTGGAATCGGAGGTCAGTCTTGAAGTCCTGAGCAATCTCTCGGACCAATCGCTGGAACGGAAGCTTTCGGATCAACAATTCGGTCGACTTCTGGTAACGACGGATCTCTCGGAGGGCAACGGTTCCGGGCCTATAACGATGCGGTTTCTTCACGCCTCCGGTGGCCGGCGCCGACTTGCGGGCGGCTTTCGTGGCCAACTGTTTTCGCGGGGCTTTACCTCCGGTCGACTTACGGGCGGTTTGTTTGGTTCGCGCCATCTCTTCAACGGTTTGTCAATTGAGTGTTAAATCAAATCAAATGTGAATCAAAAGGATTGCAAAAGTGGTGTGAATTCAGCGCTCATTTCCCTCGCCTTATATACCCTCCGCTCGTTAGTCAAGGCGTGGTATGAGTTCACAATGAGTTGGAGTCCATTCGCGCGCATCTGATTGGCTGTTATACCAGTGTTTGGTTTGATTGGTCGCTGAGTGTGTGCTTTGGACTCCAATGAGTAACAGAGAAACAGGTGTTCAACACATCTCTCGACTATTATAATAACTTGTATTTTACGTTACGTTTGATTCAAAAATCACTTTTACTCCCATTTTCACAATTAGTTGTAATTATAATCCGATTGTAATCTCAGTTTCATTATAACTATCAATGCTTTTGATTCAACACTAATACTGTATTATTCAATGACAATAACTTAGCCAAACACTCAACGCATACCATAAGTAAATCATAGGTTGAAAAAATTACAAAATGCTCAATAGTTATAACAATTAATATTAAAATTGAATTAAAAGTTGAATAAAAGTTGGGATAAATGTATAGTAAATGTGAGGAAATAGTGAGAAAAGATATAAAGTGTGGAAACAATGATTAATATATGAAGAGTTTGTCAAACACTGAAAGTGAGCCCATATTTAGCGCCAAATCTATAATTTGAAAAATACTGCAAAACGTCTCAACCATTGCCTCCAATCACTCAATACATACTCTAATTGAATGTCTTAACACTTTTCACTCTAAATTGTTATCAATATATTATAAGACAAACCAATAAATAGCAAATATTTGTTAAATTTAATGTCAATGTTAACCAAAAATTAATTATTTCACAACAAAATCAATGAGAATTAAACCAATTAAATGCACACAAAATTCACAAAAAACCGAAACTTTATTGAAAGACAATTAAATTTAAAAATACAATAAAAATCTTAAATATGGGATCAATTGAATGATAGTCTAAACTCTAATAAAGACCGAAAGAGTAGTGAAAAAAGCATATGAAATATCCGTCCATTAAATCAGTCAAGTATTGGCCCTAAAAAGGGCCGTTTGTGGTCATCACTGGCGATGAGTTTATGCCTTCTTCTCGGTCTTCTTGGGCAGAAGGACGGCCTGAATGTTGGGCAGAACGCCTCCCTGAGCGATGGTCACACCCGACAACAGTTTGTTCAACTCCTCGTCGTTACGAATGGCCAGTTGTAAGTGTCGGGGAATGATTCGGGTCTTCTTGTTATCGCGGGCGGCATTGCCGGCCAACTCGAGCACCTCAGCCGCCAAGTACTCCAACACTGCGGCCAAATACACGGGAGCGCCCGCACCCACGCGCTCAGCAAAGTTGCCTATCGATCAAGACATAAGTGATTAGTTTGGGATCAGTTGAGAGACAATGTGTTTAGACATACCTTTGCGAAGGAGACGATGGATACGTCCGACGGGGAACTGCAGACCAGCTCTGGAAGACCTGGACTTTGCTTTTGACTTCACTTTACCTCCTTTTCCTCTTCCAGACATGTTTTAAATGAGTTTGAATTGAGTTTCAATTAAACGAACGACAGATTAGTTTCAATGAAATTGTGCTCAAAATGAAAGCACTGCTCGTATTTATAGCCCAAACTGGTGTCCAAATCACAAACCAATGGGAGTCGAGTGAGTCTACGTTGACGTTCGCCTCATACAGTGCTTACGTGTCGTACGCCTACCTCTCCATTGGTTTGCGCGCAAAACACAGCGTTTCTATTGGTGTGTGATTTGGACACCAGTTTGTGATTGGTTTGTGATTTGGACACCAGTTTGAGGGCTATATAAGCGTCTCATATATCCTGCGAGCGATCATTCATTCATTTTTCACTCACTCTCTAGTGTTTGAAGCGATTTGTGTCTCAAAGTCTAACCACAAACCCATTGAAAGCAATGCCTCCGCAACCGAGTGGTAAAGCCGTGAAGAAGGCCGGGAAGGCTCAGAAGGCCGTCAGAGCCGGCGATAAGAAGAAGCACAAGAAGAGGAGGAAGGAGTCCTTCAGTATCTACATCTATAAGGTATGTCTCGCTCTCATTGCCCACTATTGGCGCCTAAACTGATCCCAATGTCTGTGTTTGTCCATCAGGTGCTGAAGCAGGTCCACCCCGACACCGGCGTCTCCTCGAAGGCCATGTCGATCATGAACTCCTTCGTGAACGACATCTTCGAGCGCATCGCTAACGAGGCCTCGCGTTTGGCGCACTATAACAAGCGCTCGACCATCACTTCCCGGGAGATCCAGACCGCTGTCCGCCTCCTATTGCCGGGAGAGTTGGCCAAACACGCCGTCTCTGAGGGAACCAAAGCCGTCACTAAATACACTTCAAGCAAATGAGCGCTGTTTTGATGGCTGTAGTCAACAAACGGCCCTTTTTAGGGCCAATCAATCGTATGACGTCTTGGAGTCATGTCTTGTTTTACGCCTTTTTTAGATTGATTTCTCATATTATTTATTAACTATTTTATGGTTTTTTGTATTTTTAAACTGAATTTCATTAAAAAATTGTCATTTCATTCATTAATTTGAGTCAACATTTATTTAATTTGTAAGTTTAAAGCATTTATAAAATGAATTAATTAATAGCAACTAAATTAAGACAATTGTGTTAATCCTCTACGAGTTTGTTGTGAACTCTCATTAATCCTTTGAAGTATTTAACAGTTTTCACTCTGAGCTCATGAGTGGCGTCTTCGTCGCAGATGAAGAGAGTGGACGGATGTAATTGAAAGGCAGACACAGTCCACATATGATTGACCCCTTCCTCGATGGCTTTGTAGAGCGCAAACGCCTTATGCTGTCCAGTGATGAGGATTATCACCTGTTTTGCGGACAAACAATGTATTATCAATTGACACAAACTCGTCGACCAATCAATACCTCTTTGGAGTCCATAACAGTTCCGACGCCAACAGTGAGCGCTTCTGTCGGCACTTTGGATAAGTCGTTGCCGAAGAAGCGGGCGTTCGCTAGAATTGTGTCGTCGGCCAGTGTTTTGACGCGAGTTCTTGAGGCGAGACTGGATCCGGGCTCATTGAACGCGATGTGACCGTCCGGTCCAATGCCGCCCACAAACAGCTCAATACCTCCCGACTCTTTGATGAGTCGCTCGAAGCGATCGCACTCTGCCTTCAGATCGGATGCGTTTCCGTCCAGAATATGAGTATTGGAGGGATCGATGTCTATGTGTTTGAAGAAGGAGTGGTACATAAACGAGTGGTAACTCTCGGGATGGTCTCGCGGCAGACCCACGTACTCATCCATATTGAATGTCTTCACGTATTTGAATGATATCGTGCCCTCTCTTCAGCAAAAATACATTTATACCATTAATTGTCACAATATTTTGATAATTGTCTTAAATGTTTCATTCATTAGCGTAACAATAGTTTATATTAATTGTAAATCTATTATTTCTCTCAATTGATGGCATTTTTAATCACGAATACTATATAACGAAAAAAAGTTTATTTTAAAGTTTTTGAGAGGAAATCAAAAGGAAACGACAAATTGAATAACTTTTGCATTAATTTTCTAGAATAACAACTCTTGGATACGAATGAATGAAAACATTTAAATAACAATTAAATGGGAATTGCATTGAATTACTTATAGTATTGGATTAACTTCTGATAAGTGCCGAGAGGTGTACTACCGGTGGGCAAACCGAGGGTGAAGTAGCGGTCGGGTCCGGGCTTGAAGTTGTTGATAGTCTTGCGGATGTATTTGGCCGTCCATTCGGACACTTTCTGGTAGTCGTCTAATATAATTAACTTCATGTTTCAAATGTGCACTCAATTGCNTAAGTGCCGAGAGGTGTACTACCGGTGGGCAAACCGAGGGTGAAGTAGCGGTCGGGTCCGGGCTTGAAGTTGTTGATAGTCTTGCGGATGTATTTGGCCGTCCATTCGGACACTTTCTGGTAGTCGTCTAATATAATTAACTTCATGTTTCAAATGTGCACTCAATTGCTCGTCGATTACTGAAGAGTTGTTTCGGTCGCTCAACGCGTTGAGGGGTTCACCAAAAATGAGGTCCACTTTTAATCGTATAATTAGTTTATATGAAACGAGTGTTTAATTTAACGATTAAATCAATTGAATGAGTGATAAGACAAGCAGTGAATGAATGATTGCTTTTAGAATCGACTCAAACGCTAATAATGTGTGACTTTGTGTTGATATGGATTTCGTCAACCAATCAATCGATTAGAGCTGACAATCGTTGCCATCAAAGCCATCATTACTGCCAATACATGCCATTAATGCCATTATAATCGTTGAAAACATATTTTACGTCACAATAATGTGTTTAACATTATTTGGTTTAAACTTATTTAGTTTTCACTTGTATTTGAGAGTCAGTCGATTAGATGGAGTTATCATTGCTGTCAAAGTCTCACAAACTTGTGATTTGGCCGTCAAATGACCACCAATTGTATCAATGATAGCATGTATTGCATGAATACAGCAATTGTTGAGATAAGAGTTCACTTATATTGCCGTCAATTAACTAATTTTGTTAATTAGTTAAATTATTTAACTTAAATAGTCGTCTAAAATGTATATCTTTTCGCACATTTCAACTCAAAAATGTGCCTAAAATTGCAAATTCATGACAAGAGGTGACGCTTTCAATGCTATATCTCTCGCAATATTCTTGTGATAACTTTTGACTGATTTTATAGTTTATAATTTAAAATATTGATTGAATGTATAATTAAGTTTAATTTCTTACTATTTTTCAAGTATTGTATATTTTCACTAAATTTTTGCTTAAAATATTTATAGTTTTAAAATTATGGTGAAGTTATATAAACTATCAGACAATCAAAAGTTGGTTAAACGCTAATCACATTAAATATTGAATGTTTGTATCATTTTTTGTCTAATCTTTTGGAAAAATATCTAAAAATTATTCTTTCATTGAATTAATTCATTACACAATATGTAAACGATTGGCAAAAAAGAGTTATCTCTAATTTCCGCAGTTTTAACTCAAATGAAAAAATATTTGCAAAAATTTGTGATGCATTTTAAATAACTGTTTTGTTTTGTATTAATAATATATTAAAAAGACGTTTTTAATTCAATTAATGTTTTGGAAAATACCGAGATTTTTATTCAAAATGTGATTACAATAAAATGTAAATTTAATGTTATAATAGGTTTGTATTAAATGAGCCGAAATGTCAATGATATGAATGAAACCATTAATTCATAATTCCTTTATCTTTTCAAAATGTGAATTCAATTTCGGAAAAAACTAAACATTTTTCAAATGGCTTTTTAATTTCATTTTCAATACATTTGACAAAAATATATATTTAATATCACATTTCAATTAAATATTACGTTTAGATTTGGTTCAACTATTTTCGCAGATTATTGTCGTATTTATATTATTTTATTTCATAAACGAGAAAATAGAGATTACATTTGATGGCAGTGTTTGCGTCGCTATAACCACACGGGAGACCACTTTTTTGATCATATTTTTCTAGATTCCTGTTCCGGCCTTACATTCAGGATAAAAAGTTTTGATAACAAATGGGAGGAATGTGGATATTAATGGTAATTTAAATGTGCTAGCTCTATTTTGGTCGTTTCTATGATGATGATATGGGAAACGGTTAATAAATTAAACATTTCTTACATAAAAGATTTAAATAAAATAATTTTTCATAAATATTTCATAACACGAATATGTATTTTTTGAATATTTTAATTTTTAATAACAAATATATGACTAATAGCTATAATATGTAAAAAATAATTAAAATGTAAGAATAAATTTTTGCTATAAAAGTTTAATATAAAAATAACTTAATTTTTAATACATTAAGTTATGTATATATCCTGTACTGTATATATCCTGTATTACTACTCGAGTCTTGAAAGTATTTAAAAAAGTTTATATAATTTTTAAAATAACTTATAAATTGCTTCGTGAATGGAGTTTAGAGACAAATGTTAGAAATGGTTATAAAATTATAAACTATATTATTTGCTTGGTCATATTTTGAAAAGTTATTAAATGTAATAAGATTTTAGAATATAAATTTAGACTTTAAAACGAGCAAAAGAGTGAACAGAAGTTTTTTTAAAGAAACTTTAGGCAATAAAAAGGCGAATTCGTTGAGGGCTTGAAATGTTAGAAATCCTGATATTAATGAGAAAGAAGTAGACGTGAAGTGAAGTATTGTTGAATTACAACAATTATATTATGCAA